TCAGCCAAAAATCTCCTATGCCAATTATCACGTTACGGAAAAGTCTTTCCATCCGATTCAGCTTCCGGGGTCTTCAGCAAAGATCAAGATAATTGAGTCAATGTTCCATAAAATATAGAATCAATGGATTATGAGAAGTGAGATAAAAGATATGGCCAACAGAAGACAAACCTATCTTGCATTCCTTCCGGATCAATCCGATACGCCTCAAATATGCCGTTACCGGAAATCCTTTCCATCTAATCCAGTCTCCGATGTCTTCATAAAAGTTTCCAGAAAATTTGAATTCAGGATATTTGGAGTTGTGAGCTGAGAGATAACGCAAGCGGAAGAAGCACAGGTCTAGAAGCCAATTCGGACCAGTGTAATGCGCCTTAAGATCGGCTTACCGAAAAGCTTTGCCGCCCTCAGATGAAGTTGGGTTCTTCACAACAGTTTAAGCTGATTGAGTCATCTATCTTGTGGACTTGGTCTTGTGTCATTTGGATCACTGATATGAAAGTTACATAGAACAGAAGAGAAGCATGTCATTCCGGGTTCAAAGAGCTTGCTGGGTACTAAGTGTTTTTCTTGTGCCTCTGTGTAAACCCCTCGGTATATCTGTACACTGAAGCCTATTTATGAAGCTTTTGTCCATTCCCTCGGTCTTACCCCTCGGTCATACAACATCGGGACATTCTTGTTCAACAATCTTATCCCCAAACGACTAAGTATCAAGTTGAAGCATCTATGGGGTTGATCTTGAATTTTGCTGAGTGTTACAGCACCCCTCAGCATAGACCCCTTGGCATGGCTGTTCTTCAAGACCCCGAGGCCTTCCTGAATGAGACCCCTCGGCCTGAACCCCTCGGTATAGCTAGGACGAGGTGGATTTCTGAAGATAATGCTCAAAACCTCGATGTAACCCCTCGGCCTATTCCATGCCGAGGTGCATATTACGAATGAACTGCTGAACCCCTCGACCTTACCCCTCGACATGTACACCTCGGTATGGATGATCTTGAACACCACGAAGGGTGGCTCCAGCAACCCATGAAGACCGGGTCAGTATACGGTTTGTCTCAGGTTGACCCGGTTCGGTTTACTTTGCTATATATACCTTTTTGGCTAAAAACCCTAATATGTTTGATTCCCTTTTATTTTCTTTGCCTTTTTTGTGAAAAATTGGAGTAGATACCTCGTTTTCAATTAATCAAGGCTGTTTCTTATCATTCTTTTCATCTTTTCTATCTTATTAATCATGTTTAACACACCTAATCTTTTGCAAAAGATTAGGTGTGTTAAGCATGATTAGTGAGTAGTCTTCTTTTAGGCTTCTAGGTGTGTAGATTATGGTGTTTAGATGTTTGATTTGTGATTTTTAGGTTCTAGATTTTTATTTCTTTCCTTAGTTAGCTGCTCTTAATGCTAGATCTCTTATTATAAGCTTGATCTAGAACTTAGACATATCTCCCGCCACAAGGTGTTTGATGAAATGCCTGAAAGAGCTAACTTAAGGGTTTATGTTTTGAATGCCATGAGAATGTTTGTTTGAAACATAAATGACATTTTAAAACTGTTTATTAATGCATATTGATCATCATTACCACTAATGAGAGTTAGGTTTGAATGCTGATTAATATAGTGATCATTATCTTAGCTCTTATTTTGATGTACAAATAGGCTGTTTTGTCATATTTTACTGGAAACCTCATGCTTGTTAATTGCTTATTCACTAATGGAAATTAGTCTTGATTAGGTAGTTAACAAAGGGATTTTTATCATGGGAATGAATTAATCTGAATTAGAAGTCTAGACTAAAGAATTGCAAGTGTTGCAGTGCTTGCTTAGCATCATGAATTAAGCATTGAAAGCACCCTGATCAATGATCACATCTAGAGATTTAGCTTTATCTTTATTTGAATTTAAGTCCTTTTTAGTGTCTTTTGTTTGCTTTGTTCTTAGTTATTGCTTGTTTCTTGTTTTGTTTTATGTTTTAGATCACTTTGTCACCAAACTGTTTCATAATACTTGGATTAAGAATTGATCCTCATAGTTCTAGTGTCTAGATAATCTCCATTTGGATTGACCCTCAAGTGCTACAACACAAGAGCTTAATTGACCTTAGTAAGCTAAAAAGTTACTATCAATTTGGCACTGTTGCCAATTGGAGAGTTTAATCTAGCATTAGGACTTTGGATCTTCTTGAAATCAAGTTATTTTATTTTGTTTTACTGATGTCCTTGCAAGTTCTGTCTTTCTTGTAGGTGCATGCAAACAAGAAGCCAAACAAGAAGAGAAAGAGAAAGGGCAGTGCACATTGAGAGATTGGGTATGGATCAAGGGCAACAGGCTCATGGTGGTAATGGAAACCACCAGAATCAGCAAGAGCCTCCACCACCATGTCCAAGAACAGTTGTAAGAGCTGGTGATGAGGCCAATGTTCAGGGTCAGAGACATGGGATTCAGGCTCCAACAACTGAAAACGATTTTGAGATCAAGTCTGGCTTAATCAACATGGTGCAATCAAACAGATTCCATGGTTTGGCATTAGAAGACCCGTTAGATCACATTGACAACTTTGATAGAGTTTATGATCTAACTAAGATGAATGGACTGAGTGAAGACAGTTGCAAGTCGAGGCTATGTCCTTTTTCTCTAGGAGACAAAGCTCATTAATGGGAAAAGTCTCTTCCTCAAAAATCAGTCACAACATGGGAGCAATGCAAAAGAGCATTTTTTAACCAAGTTCTTTTCTTCATCAAGAACAGCAAAGTTGAGAAATGAAATCTCAAGTTTCATTCTAAGGAATCACTACAAGAATATAGTGTATTAATTGCGGACGAAAAACGCATGTAATGATACGATAGTGTTTAGTTAAACGCTCTATCATCGCCTGCGATAAAAAGTCTAGCACTTTAGATAGCGCTTTTTATAAATGCTATGGTATATATTTTTACCATAGCGTTTTAATGTCTGCAATATGTTAACCTACAATAGTGTTTATTCAGTATTATGAATTAGCTATATAATAGCATTATGTAAATGTCATCTATATATTAAACATAGCAATCTTTAAATGTAATATATTTCAGTTGGTCATTAACATATGTTTGTTTTTTCGACTTCAATTTTTTGAAAATATTAATTTAATTAAATACATTTAATTTAAAAAGAAATTGCAAAATAAAAAATACATTTAAATTTATATTAAATAACTCGAGGTTTACAAAGTAAAATTACACGAATCCTTCAACTCCCTAAGTACTAAACCAAAACCAAAAATAACGAGTCTCAAACCTAAATCAACAAACCAAACAGATCATGTTCATTCATGGCATTAAGAACAGACTGAACATCTTCTGCTGACTCGAAAGAGATGAAACCAAATCCACTTGATCTGTTATACGAAATTGGAGGTGGCCTGTATGTGATCACAGAACAGAGACAGATTCCTGTCCCAGCTCCAACAGCAAGAACAATCTTGTCCTTGATCAGCTCCAAAGAGGTCTCAAGTTTCTCTTGGCAAACAACATCGCAGACTGTGAACATCACATCTTGTACTAAACTTTTTCAACATTAAATCATGCGTAACAAAGTTTTAAACTGTCAACAAACATATATTCCAAGCAACCAAAGCAAAATGTACAAAAATGACCATACAAAAGTATACTCTCGGAAGAACTGATAACAGCAAGTATGAAAACTGCAAATGACACAAGAGAAATTCACAGACATGACCTATGGATTCAGAGTCTAACGTCTTCAATAGACTGAATTTAACAGCTCCAAATATTGTTCCAAAACCAAGGAATCAATCCCACTAATATGCCGATGTGAACTAGAATAATAATCACAGCTATTACCACAACACAGGTTCTTAAATATTCTTAAGAAATGGGAAATCAGAAGCTCAGATCATTGTTTATAGGAAGAATAATGATTCAAAATCCAACCTTTCCACAAAGATAAAGACCGCCAATATATCAGAGAAGATCTTGGAGACTCGGATGGGGAGAGAGAGTTCATCTTCACACTGAGCCGAGCGCTTCACCGAGCTCTTCCTACAAAAGAGCAAAATAATCCAGGGATTAATACCGAAAATGAAAATGAAAACCTTAAATCTATAAAAATAAAGAAAACCCAAACACAATTTCACCTTTAATGTCAAATTCGACATATAAATTCAATTTAGAACAATGAAGATGACGAGGAATATTGATATTTTCTTGTAGAACGAGACCGAGTGTGAGAGAGATCAAGAGCGAAAAAAGAGAGAAGAGAGATCGCGATTGAGACTGAGAGAGAGATCGAGACTGAGAGTGAGAGAGATTGAGACTGAGAGTGATTGTTGAAAAGAGACCGAGAGTGAAATAAGAAAGAAGAGAGAACAAAATGGACTTTTGTGAATATCCTAAGTTTTCGTCGACGAAATTTTGTTGTGTTTAGATCCAATTTTTTTTCCATAGCGTTTAATTTCGGTAAATGCTACTAAAACACAGGAGCCAAAGTAAAATTTGGCGGGTCAACATTTTTTTGCACACAACATCAACTATAGCGTTTCAAAATTAAGAAACGCTATCTTAAATACCCAGTTTAGTTAGAGATAGCATAACCAACCATAACGCTATCTGCAAGTGCTATCAATACTCTAAAATCTTGTAGTAAACCATGAATCTTTTTGTGAGACTTGGGAAAGATTTAAAGGGTATACCATGCAATGCCCTTACGATGAATTCTCAGATTCACAGCTGCTAAGTATCTTCTATAAAGGTGCTTTACCAAAGGTCAGCTCCTCTTGGACACAGCTTCAAATGGTTATTTCATGACCAGGGAAGTCAATGATGCTATGACCCTTGTGGAGAATATAGCTCAAAGTGATGAGCTTTATGGGTCAGACTTTGACAAGAATTCAAGAGGAGCTGTGAGTGTAGAAGAGGAAAAGACAAGGAAAGACATCAGGTCTCTCAATGAGAAGCTAGATAAACTTCTCCTAGCTTCCCCTAATTGAGCCAACTTTGTTAGAGATGTGAATCATGTGTTTCAGGACAATGTTTAAGTGGAATATCCTCTAGTGTTATCTCAGCCTCTCCCTTCTCCACAGAGATTGTTGCTAAGAACGCCTCGCAACCTTTGCTAATCAGCTCTTCTGTCTTAATCATCGAAAAAATTGGTACTCCACTTTGTTTTTTCATCCCTTGATAGACCAGCTTTCCTTCCGCCCGAGTGAAGCTAACTTTAGCTCTCCGACAATCCAACACAGCTCGATGACGTTTCAGCCATGTCATTCCAAATATGATCTCATATCGGTTGAGTGGCGTCTCAATCAAATCTGCAAGTAGCTCAATACCTTCTATTATCACTGGAACATCTTTGAAAGTTCGTTCGGATATGATGGCCTTCAGTCCAGCGGTTTCAACTCTTCTTACTTTTTTCACAAACTCGCCTTTGAATTCCCATCACTTTATTAATTTAGAGCTCAGAAATTCGTGTGTAGCACCCGTATCAAACAAAGTGTTAGCTGCAATCCCTCCCACAAAAACCGATCCTACACGGTTTTCTAAATTTAGGCGACTCAACACCAAGAAGGACTCACAGAGAATTTTTTTAAAACTTATTTACACAATTCCAAATGCTAAACAAAGGACTTACCAGCGATTGGTTCTGCATCCTCGTCATCCACAGTTACATACTCATACTCCTCTCCATACACATCTCCGGTAGGGTCCTCGACTTCCGCAACAAATACTCTTGGTGCTAAAGCGGATCGCTTTGGTGGTGGTGCCAGCTGATCCCTGTTCTGATTCCCTTGTTGCTGTCCTGCAGTTCTTATTCTACAATCCTTTGCCAAGTGACCTAGCCGTCCACACTGGGTACAAGCAGTTTTCGCATGGGGGCATGATGGTTTTCTGTGGCCAATCTGACCGCATCCAAAACAGATTCGGTTATCACCACCACAAGGTCCGGTGTGAGCTCTCCCACATCTGCCACAAACTGGTAGTCTCACTACACCCTGAATGGCACCCCGGTTATCCTGAAAATGACGCTGAGTGTCCACTTGTCTGGTTACTCTGAACTGAGTACCCCTTACCATCTTTGCCTCATCCTCAATTCCTTTCTCCATCAGTGCTGCTTTCTCAACAAGGTCAATCACTGATGCATAGTACACCAGCTGATATCGGTTACGGATGTCCACCCGTAATCTTTTCATAAATTTCTTAACAAGACGACGCTCAGACACGTCTCTTCCAGAAAATCTTTTCAGACGGTTGAACTGCTGAGCATAATTCTTCACGGTTTGATTCCCATGCTCTAACTTCAGAAAATCTAACGCAAGTCGGTCTTCAGCCTCCTGCAGAAAATATTTCCGGTTGAACTCATGTGTGAAATCTTCCCACTGCATCACATCGCCCTTTGGCATGCCTATGATCACTCCTTCCCACCATTCATAAGCCTTGTCTCTCAGGTACTGCACTGCCAGCTCAACTTTGTACCCGACAGGACACCTGATCAACGCGAAGTTACGCTGCAACAGTTTCCTCCAACGGTCAGCCTTCAAGAAATCAGTCCCACCGCTGTAAGTCTCCATGCCGAACTCCCTCATAAGCTTCAGCACCTCATGGTAGGTAGGCATCTGCGGTTGGTACCCATTCACTGCTGGTGGCATATGCAGCTGATATCCATTCATTGGTGGCGGCATATACGGCTGAAATCCATTCACTGGTGGTGGTCACTACAGGAAAAACGGGTTTTAGTAGCGGCTGAAAACCGCTATCTAATGATATCATAGCCTTTAGTTAAACGTTCTATCATCGCCCGCAATAATAGCTCTGACACATTAGATAACGGTTTTATATGCTGCTATCGTATTTTCATTTATTATAACACATTTTTGTATGCTATTAAATACTCTATAATAATGCTTTCTTTTTGTCATTAATAGTATTATTCATATCAATCTAGAATTAGATTTTTAATTTTAAATTTAAATTTTAATTTTTAATTTCTAATTTTTAATTCTAAAAGCTTCAATTTTAATTTACAAAGATGACGATCAAAACAAAATTTACAAAGATAAAACAATTATCATTAGTAGTAAAATATTTTACAAAGACAACAACAACATATTAAATAAGTAAATCACTTGCAACAGAAATGGAATTTATCAAACTAGATGAAGCTAACTTCATCTTCTCGTCCAGTTCCTTTCTATGCTCCATCAAAATCCTTTTCAAGAGCCTCTTTCTGAAATGTAAAAGAAAAAAAAAAGACAATCAGATTAAAATCCTCACCTAAACCAACCAACGAATGCAAGTAAAGATAGTCAGAAAAGTATACAAGTAATAAAAATAAACTCAACAGTTAAAGTTTTGAAATCATGCTAATGTCAATTGAGTGGTACGAATTGAGGTTGTGATAGAAAAACTATACCAAGAGTATACAAAGTCAAGTGTGAAGATGATACAAAGACAGAAAACAAAGGGTCAAGGTCTGGAACTTCATAAATGAAATTAAGGCAGCAAATACAAACAATTAAGCCAGCTTTCAAGTAGCCATTTTCATGAATAATAGAATAAAACTGCAGCATATAAACTTAAACAATTACATCTAAGGCTCTGCAAGATACTGAGAAACAATTTAATCAAACATCAAATAGTGAAGTCGAAACCTCAACAATCTAACAATCCAAAAAGAGGCCAACAAAAATTAAACTCTATTAGATATTTAGATCAAATCTCAAACTAGATCTCTTAGATTCATACACACACAAAAACCAGCTGATGTTGCTTGATTTCTATCTATGTTTATTTTCATTTCTCACAATCTAGGGATGTAAAAAGCCATCACCATAATCAAAGAGCAGGATAAACACAAGCCGCGAAATTGATGAAATCAGAAATGAAAACGATGAGAACGATGCGATATAATTACTGTGACCTAAAGATAAAACACAGAATCACAAAAATCAGGGTCCGATCTAAATCAAAGAGCTGAAATACACAACACGGAGATCTAGAATCAAAATAACGAGATCGGGAGCCATGCTTAACGAAAATGAATGGAAATGAAAGAGATGAGGAAAATCCAAATAAGACCTTGCAGGGACGACCCTTGATGATGATGTGACCACCTTTACGGATGTTACCGGCCTGATGGGGATACGTCTTGGAATCTTCGGCATCACTGGACTCGAAGTGGTGCTCTTAATCCGATGAAGCGAGAGAACAACGGAGATGGAGGTAAGAGAAGAAGAAGATTTACTCGGGTCATGGTTGTTATTTCCCTATTCTCTAACCTCCATAAAAAAATAGTTTTTTTTTAAATCCGAAACTAAATTTTTTTTTAAATCCGAAATTCAAAAACTCCTTTTTTTTTAATTGTGAAAATTCGAAATCAGAAAATAATAACTATTACTATTATTTTTTTTAATCGATTCAAAATCCGAACAAGTCCCGGATCAGAACCGGTTTGGCTAACCTTACGTTCTGATACCAAATTGAGACAATCTTGCAATTTAAACCTAACTTGATTTACACTCATTTAACGGCTTTTAAAAGAATAACAAACTCATTAAACAATTAATTATTTTCTAAAATCTTTTATTAAAAATAAATGAACCAGGAACTCGAAATGTTATAATAATAAACTGAATATTAAATATTTGAAGAAAAATTATAATAAATATAATTAAAATCTTTATTAAGAGTAATTAAATAAAATACGCCCATGGTCCCCTGAAGCAACACCGCATCAACCGCCACAAGTATTACTCTTCGATCTCACCTGAAAAAAAAAAGAAAGAGGTGGGTATTGGTGGAAAAATACTCAGTGAGGATGCACTTAAGGAGCACACAAGATTCATAAACACATTATATGATATAGTAATAAGAGTATTCATAATATAGACATTGAACCCACGCAACATTCAACCTAAAATATAATAACTAATTTTATTATATAATATAATTCTAATATTTCATAATCAGATAATCACTCAATCATAGCAATCAACCTAGAGTTTCTATAACACATTCCCAAAGAACTTCCGTCAATGTACTCATTCTCTGACACTACCCATTATGGGCTTGACAAGTTACCGGTGCCACCACCCTCAACAGGCTTTGACTATGGCTCGTCAGCCTTTTCTCGATCACTACAGCTTCACAATATTCAATCCTTCACTGTATAGACCGTCAAACAAAGCCGTAAACAATCATGTTCACAGCAGTACAATAACAAGTTCTAACAACCTATCAATCAGGCAACTCAACATTTTCTCTAATCTCTAGTATCATTCATCAATCATCAATTAACAATCATCATTTATCAACCATATTCAATATCTATACCAAGCATACACTTATCACTAGACCAGCTAATGCATCAAATGAATCTGAAGAACACCACAAAGTCGAGTCTGAAGAAAATAAGTTGGTATCCAAGCTCTGTGATACACACAACACAAAAACTAGAATTTCAAATTCGCAGGTCCAGGCTGTTTCTTGGCCGAGACGATACAACGATAACTTTCGCAATTTATCTCGGAATCTGGATCTGAAAGTGGTTCTGGAAAGAGGGACCCAGATATAAAAATCAGTATATGGATAGCTATCTAGGTCCTTCTGGATCGACGGCAAATCCTCTCTCAAGTTGGCACTGCGAAACTGGAAAAATCAAATTTTCAGAAACAAATGATTTTTTTCGCCAACTTTCACCTCACGTAAAAAACGGAGCTTACCTCGGATTTTTGATCTGTAAACTGCTATGGATTTCTTGCAGCGAGATCTTTCCAGAGGTATAAAGATCGGCACCTAGCTTGATCTGAGTTGCTGGCAAATGACACAGAAAAACCCTGACTCAGACACGGTATTAAACTGAGGTTGCAGAGGTTTTTAGAGAGTTTCACTGCGTTAACTCTTTGTGCCTCTCAAAGGAATTTGGTTGGCCCTTTATATAGGGAGGGGGTCGAGCTACTTAGGTCTAGGGTGGAGAAAAAATGATAAAAATGCCCTTATTAACATTTAGGGCTTTATTTCTTCTCATGGGCTTTAAGGTTTGGGCTTATTCATTTTTTCTTCATAATTGGGATGTCACAGCTTGTGTAGGTCAGGGTTTGAACTTGTTGCATCCAAAGTATTCCTTGTATTACATCTCAGAATTAGCAACTAGGACCATGAGCTTGAATTTGTTTTGATGATCAATTCTTTCTCTCTCTTTAAAGAAATGTGAACTCCCAAACATTCTACCTCTCTCTCTCATTTGTTATAGTTTGCTTGAGGGCAAGCAGATGATAAGTGTGGGGGAGTTGATATATTCATATCTTTGCATGTTTAGGGTGCATTTTGATGTAGGCACAAGGAGAATCTCACTGGTGTCTACTTGAATCTCGGCCAAGAATTTGAGGTGTAGCTGGCTGAGAGCTCTTTCTACACCTAACGGGTAAGATGGTATGAAGGCGGCTGAGGTCTCACCACACAGATGGAATGAATTTACGTGATACTAAGCCATGGGTTTTCTTCTTTGGCCTTGGAGTTATCTCAACAAGAACAAAGGCTCACAAAGACAAACAGGTCTTAAAAAAATTTAAGTTTTTATTGATGATGAAAGGTGAAAAATGTTACATGGCTGTAGAGGGACTTATATATTGTCCAAGCGGCTTGACTCTAAAGAAAAAAGGCTCAATTGCGACAGGACTTGAAAAGGAAAAAGGCGACATTAAAGGAGATTACATTTTCTAGAATTAAGCTAAAATTCAAACTAAAATAAAAGGAAAATCACAGAAGAAAAAACAAGGCAAAGGTTAGTCAAACGATATAAATCAATTCAAAGACTTACCTTAGTTTGTATGCGCGTGCGTGTTGATATAGTAAGTGCATTCTGTCCTTGACTCCTTTGATGAATGTAGACTCTTTTGCGGTTCAAGTCCTGCGGGTGCACAGAAAAATAGATACTCCGGCCTTTAAATCTTGTAAAGCTCCAAAAATTCAATCTGATCCTCGCGTGGGCTTTAGCGAGCCATTGTTGGGCTTGTCCTTGTTTAAGGTGGACTCTATCTGGTCTGTGTCTTCCTTGGGCTGCACGGCTTCTTGGGCTGCGTTTAAGTTAAGTTGAGGTGGCCCGTTGATGTTGCGGTCCATGATCAAGTCTTTGTCTTGGCTCTCGGGTGTGTTTAAGACCTTAGTCACGTATGCATTGAATTTTTCATGAAGTGCTCTAGACCTTGATCGAGTCATTGGTAAGTCTGGTACAAAGGGGACATCTTGGGAGTGTTTGAGCTTGATGTTTTCATCATTCCCTCCCTCTTGAACTGGTTTCGACCTCAAAACATCGCCTTGACCTACATCAAAACAAGATAAATCAGTTAAATTGAATGAGGATGAAATGTTTAACTCACCTGGTAGCTTTAGGCGGTATGCGTTGTCATTGATCTTTTCAAGTATCTTGAAGGGGCCGTCTCCTTGTGGTGCAAGTTTGGAGTTCCTCTTGGTTGGAAATCGTTCTGGCCTCGTGTGGAGCCAAACCCATTCTCTCGGTTCGAAGACCACCTTCTTCCGATTTTTGTTTGCCTGAGTTTCATACTTCTCGGTCTTCTTTTCTAAGTTGTCTCAGATCTTCTGGTGCAGCCTCTTGATCACCTCAGCTTTGTTGATCCCTTCTAAGTTGATTGCTTCGGTTTATGGTAAAGGTATAAGTCCAATGGGGTGGTGGGATTAAAACCGTATACAACTTGAAATGGTGACTGCTTAGTGGCTGAATGAGTGGCCCGGTTCTAAGCAAACTCCACACATGGAATACTGTCGAGCCAGTTCTTCAGGTTGTTCCCTATAGTTGCTCTCAACAAGGTACCAAGCATGCGGTTCACAACTTCTGTTTGGCCGTCAGTTTATGGGTGGCAGGTGGTGGAGGACAACAACTTTGTTCCGTATTTTTTTCAAAAGATCTTCCAAAAATGGCTGAGAAACTTGGTGTCTTGATCAGAGACAATGATTCTTGGGATCCCGTAGAGTCGCACAACCTCTTTAAATAACAGATCGGTTATTTGCGTCGCATCATTGACCTTAGCACATGGCAAGAAGTGTGCCATTTTGGAGAATCTGTCCAACACAACAAAGATGGAGTCTTTGTTCCGGATCTTAGGTATCTGAGGACAAAGTACATTGAGATATCGACCCAAGGCATCGTGGGTATTGGCAAATGCATGTATAGGCCGTGAGGTTGTAGTCTTGACTTGACTTGCTTGCAAATCACGCAATTAGAACAAAACTGATCCACGGTTTTCTTGAGGTGTGGCTAGTAGAAATGCTCCTTGAGAATGTCCAAAGTCTTGTCCCTACAGAAATGACCCATCAATCCCCCACTGTGTGCTTCTCGTACCAGCAGCTCTCTTAAAGAACATTGGGGAATGCACAGCCTCTTTTCTCTGAATAAGAATCCTTGGTGTTTGTAGAATGACCCGTACGCTCCCTTCTCGCAATTCTTGTAGATCTCTACGACCTCTTGATCCTCTTCATATAGGTCTTTGATGTATTCAAAGCCTAATACCTTTGTTACATAGTTGAGATCAGCAAGTGTCTCCTTGAGAGGGCATCAGCGACTATATTTTCCTTTCCCTTTTTGTATTTGATAACATAAGGGAAAGTCTCAATGAATTTGAACCATTTGGCGTGTCTCTTCTTCAGTGTGGTCTGTCCCCTTAAGTGCTTTAGTGTATCATGATCGGTCTGAATCACACATTCTGTAGAGATGAGATAGTGTTGCCAAGTTTCCATAGCTCGAACTAATGCATATAGTTCTTTGTCGTAGGTTGGGTACTTGAGTGTGGCTCCACTCAGCATTTCACTGAAGAATGCTATTGGTCTGCCTCCTTGAGTTAAAACTGCTCTGATTCCCATGCCTAATGCATCGCATTCTACTTCAAAGGTCTTGTTGAAATCGGGTAAGACTAAAACAGGTGCCTCGGTTTACTGTTGCTTCAAGGCTTTGAATGCTTACTCCTGTTCTTCACCCCAGCTCAATGGCACGTTTTTTCTTGACTACAGCTGTCAAAGGGGCGGCCACTGTGCTGAAATCTTTGGCAAACCTCTGATAGAAGCTTGCTAAGCCGTGGAAGCTCTTGATATGGCTAAGACTAGTTGGTGTATGCCATTCTTGAATCGCTTTGATCTTCTACTCGTCTACTTGCAATCCCTGGGAACTAACAATGAAGCCTAGCAACACAAGACGGTCAGTGCAAAAAGAGCACTTCTTGAAGTTGGCATAAAGACTTTCTTGTCGAAGGGTCTTTAAGACAAGCTCAAGGTG